AGATGCTGCTTAGTGTAAAAAACTGAACCGTGAATTCCTGGATTGATAGAGGCCTTGTGTCCATATACCACACAGGTCACTCGATTAAGTAGAATCAGTTTAAAAACTATTAGTTAAAGCAGTACAAATACCTGGCCGGACAAATCGGTTTAAAAATCACACCTCTGCCTAAGTACAAGTGTGTGTGTAAACCAGGGCTGAACTTTGGCAGAAGAATAATGAAGGGAAAGGGATTGAATTCTTTGCATACCCTCTTTGCTAGTAGGGCCTCAAAAAACAAAAAAGCCAGAAAAAAAGGAAATACTCCAAGATCGTCCCCTCTTTGGAACGACAACACACACCCAAAGCTATAAGCATTAAATTGGATAGGAATAAGATAGCTGATTTTGCCTCTAGTCAAATATAGCAAAGTATCATTTAAATTGCAAATTACATAGCAACAGATTTCTGCACAAAGTTCAAGGGCTTTCTTTTTAAGCAGTTTGTTTTTATAAATTAGACACGACATTTCGGGGGAGATGGAGAAGAGCTGCTATTGTCAATACATATTCAGCTCAAATATCTCCCAGATTAGTTTGATGCATTTTGTCTACACACCAGAGAAAAAACTGGGTTGTTAAATGATGACCAAAAAACCCAAAAAGATGAAAAAAAACCACCTGACTTTTATGAGAAGGTCCCCAAAGAAGTAGGTTTCATTGGTGTCACGTTAGTGCAGGAGGATTAACTGTTCCAAAAGGATCTCAGAACTGGGAATTGTCTCACCTTTCTGCTTTCCACCCACCACACACCCCCCATCTTCCCTCCTGCACAAGGGGAACTTTTAATCCATTGACAGTTTTACTGTGAAGCTCTTTTAAAAAAAATCTTTTAAACCGATGTTTCCTCCTTCAAAACTTCTGTTCCTTTCTTTTCATTTTTAAGAACACGTTCTTGCTAGTATCAGCCTCTTGGCCCTGACTCCTCCAAATTAAACTTCACTGAAAGCTTAAAGATGGGAAAATATATACTTTGCATTTATACAGTGCCTTTTAATCAGCAGTTCTCAAAATGCTTTCTGAAGCATTAAATCCAAAGTGGGAATTTTTATGCCAATTTTGAAACGGGAAATTAAGGCAACAAGAGGATCAGTTATCCAAGGTTACTCTGAATCAGCGACAGAGCTGGGAATAGAAGAGCTCGATTGTCTTGATATCCAATCCCCTGTAATCATTACCTGAGACTCCTGCTTCCCCAAAATACATTTGATATAAACTGAATGTTTTCGTGCTCCTCCTTCTTAAGAGCCAAATTACAGCCCATTGTATAGTATTACCGAATACTACTCGGGGGACCTGCAGGTCTGAACACTTACTCAGCTGGCAGTACATTCATGACAAAAAGAGGGCAAAGCAAAAGCCAGATTTTTTTTAAATGAGTTTTAAAAACTAGGCTGGTTTGGGTTGGGGATGTACGTTTGAGTGTCAGTGGTTCTTACCAGCAACTGCAGATGAACAGACTCATTAAGACTTCAAGAATGTATAAAATCAATCCCCTGAAACCTAAAATCAACCAGATCCAATCTCAGGAAGGCAGCTGTGATAAAAAACACATTCCGTTCAAATCCCATTGTGATGAAGATTATTCCAATTTTAAATGATCAAAACAGTTACTGTCTTTGATGCAGAACAAATACATCTTCACGACTGAAGGAAGTGATGAGGCTCACCTGACCAGATATAGCAGGCCCTGAACCAGTGACCTTACTGTGAAAAATCATGATAAATGTATGCGAGTCAGAGCTGGATTAATTTAATGTAAGAGTTAGCCTGGAAGGAGGACTATGAAATGCATCAGTGAAAAGGAAACAATTTAGTTCTATACACTGGAGAACTTTAGGCTTTTCGTGATAAGGAAGTGCATATCTAATAGATTTCATCTTTCAACAAAGTCCTCAATAATGTATTTTGAAGAGCCAGAGACCCCTAAATCAATCAATCTCTCGCTCTCTTTTTTTTTTTTTTTTTATTATTAAAGTAATTTGGCACATGAACCTTTGGCTACTGTCTAAAGACTGTACCGAAATTTGAAACACAATTTTGTTTCTTACCCTTTACTACAGATCCACACAGACTGACTATTGATCAAGCAAATGTCAACGCTTTAAAATTCTGTTGAATATTTAGAACTCAGTCACAGGCCGGTAATTATTTGTAAACAAAGAATAATGCCATTAATATCCTTCTTTATTAATGTTGAGAGAAACCTGTTCATCTGCCTTTTTGCTTCTTATATATTCGCGAGCATGAGCTAACGGTTTGTGATTGTTTCTTTTTTGGGGTGGAGAGGATTTAGTCAGTTTGGGACACACAGGATTTCCATTCTGTCTTGCTGGCCTTCATCCCCCAGCCCCCATCCATCCTCCAAAGTACATATTGCTCCCACTAGACAGTCATACTGTTTATTCATTTGCAGGCTTTTCTTTGGCGATCATCACAGTACCTGAGTCACTCTCAAACGTTGGTGAACTAATCTTCGGCTTTCCCAAGAGGTGGGGATGTAGTATCAACATTTCCCCGATGAGGTAACAGACACACAGACGAAAGTGACTTGCCCACGGCCACATAGCAGAGCTGTGACAGAACTGGGAACGGAACCTAGATATCTGGAGGCTCAGTGGAAGGTCTTCTTCTCAAGACCATCCCTTTCTCCCAGGGGCCAGCAAAAAAAGGACAACATGGTTTAGAAAAAAGAAAAGGAGTACTTGTGGCACCTTAGAGACTAACAAATTTATTTGGTGCTTAGAGAACAAGCAGGTCACTGTGTTGTTCAGCAGTAAAATACTTCTGAGGCAGAGAAAATATTTTAAAAAGCACTAGATGCTCTTGGTGCAATAGATAACAAAACATTCAAAAGGCTCAACACAAGAAAAACCAGGCAGTGACCACTCAAGACTGAATTTCTTTTAAATGTAGCAATTCAAAATGGGATCCTCTGCCACCTAGCATGCTAAGGTTCAGAAATCGCCTCCTCCGTCACTCCCCATTCTCCAGACCCTGCACTGGCTCCTCATTCCTCCCATCATATCAAATTCAAACTCACCCTCCTTTCCAGGTTTCAGAGTAGCAGCCGTGTTAGTCTGTATTCGCAAAAAGAAAAGAAGTACTTGTGGCACCTTAGAGACTAACAAATTTAATTGAGCATAAGCTTTCGTGAGCTACAGCTCACTTCATCGGATGCATTTCCAGGATTCTCCTTTTCATACACTATACTCTGCCAGTTCTACCACCTCCCACATCCCTTAATTCTTGCCTCCCACAAGCACCCCCAGTCTTTTCCCACAGTCCCCTCCTGGCCTGGATTATCTCCCTCTGCAACTTCAAACCCTTCCTTGCCACAAGCCCTCAAAACAAAGATCTGCTAAATTATTCCCTATAAACCGGTGGGGGGGGGAGGGGGAGAGATTAAAGGAATTAACATGAGCATTACATCTTTGCGAGGAGTCCTGTAATCTCTCAGGATCCCACAGTCAGGAGCTGGGCTGGGAGCAGAGTTGCAGCTGGGGTTGGGAGCCAGGGCCACAGTCAGGGGCTGGAGCTGAGCTGGGACCGTGTTTGGGGCTGGAGCTGGGGCTGGAGCCAGGGCTGCAGCAGATCTGGGGGCAGAGTGGGACTGGGTGGCGCTTCTGCCCTCCCCCCCCGCCAGGGGCTGGCCTGGGCCCTACAGCGTATCCCCAAATATTCCTCTGTGCCCCCCCCAGGAGGGCACACTCCACAGTTTGGGGACCACTGCTTTGGCTGTACAATATAGTAGTGTCCATTGACATAGCAAGCTACTGGGGACATGGGGTGGTTTTATTCTGTTTCCGCGAAGTGCCCAAAACAGTTTGGGTGATTCATTCATACCATTATATTTTTATATTTATCTATACACACACACACAAAAATAATAAATAAGAACAGAGCATCATTAAATTATTATTAATAGTAGCAGTCTGGATAAACAGCATGAATGCAGAATTCAGACAAGCTCTCATCTGGCTTCTGTACATTTAGGTTGTGGTTAATTTGATAAAATAGCACTACTGACGTTCAGCAACAGCTTCCAAAAAAACTACAAAACAGATTCCAATGCCTGAAGCTGCATTAAAGACAAAGGCTACAAGTGAAATTTATTTAGGAGAAAAGTATGATCTCATGACCAATGGTATGTCCTCACCGAGGAAGTACAGAATATGGGCCCTCAAAGATGGTAATGCATTCGAATTTTCAATGTCCGCATAAGTAAATCAACAGGCTCAACACAAGAGAAATCTAGTAGTGATTAAACTTCAAACAAAATGCTTTTGAAATATAACAAAAGGTAAACAGAATGTTCCAATGAACAGCCTACCATCCAGTGTGCTAGACTTTCACTGATTATAGTGAGAGAAACCAAGCAGCAAACACTTTTTCTATCAAAAGTCAGTTCTCTTAAAATGTCTATATTTGTTAAGTATGAAAAATTTACAGAACGACTCCTTTGAAATCCAGAGTATGTACACCATTCTATGTGCATCAAAAAATTCTCTAATATCACACTCAGGACTAACACTACTGACATGCTTCGTAGTTTATTTAATCCCAAACTGAAAATCAGATGCATTTTAGTCAGCTCTGTCTGCTTACACAAACTTCGGGATAGAGTCAACAACCCTTGTCTATTCCAGGCCAATTAACTTACTGGAGCACACACCCCAACCCTCCTCTTTTTCATAGTATGAACAAGACACAGGATGTATTTAAGTCTAGACCAAACGGAAAAGTTTCAATATGGAAATATAAAAGTGATGCATTGTTCCAGTCACTGTTCACTCCTAAATGCTAACATCAACATCAACTGATGGCAACTGACAGAGGAGTTCCAAAGGGATAGTGTTGCTGCTTTTGTACTCCTGCGCACTGAGCATTGAAGGTCTGAGAGACCACATGACAGTTGTTTATGAGTCTGGAGTGAAGTCACATGACATGTCGTCCTCCTCCTCCCTCCACACAGACACAGGCTCACTGCCTCACCAACACAAACAGCACTGACCTGCTTACCACACCAGGCAGAAGGAGACACACTGTCTTGGCACATCTTTCAGGGTGCCTTGAGAGGATTTTGAGGCACCGAACTAACACACGGTATCAGAACTTAATAGAAATCTCTTCTTTAAAACTCTGCACACATATTACATTCTATTAAACATGCATAATAATAATTTTAAAAGGAAGATCAGTATTGGGAATTTTAAAACATGACTATCAATTTGAGATTTAATTTGTTTACATCTAGAAAAATCAGTAAAATGCTTTTGCCTACACAAAGTCACTCGCTTAAGATAAAGCAGAGATGTAGCAGATATGTAAATTTTAAAAACATATACATGCAGTTTAACAAATTTGAAAAAGACTCCTAGCGTATCTCCAGCACTATTCCTTACGTATAGACTTCCCTTTATAAAAATCCATAAAGGGTGATTTCAAGCTATTTAATTGCATCACACGTCAATGCCTCTCCTTACATATGGAACCTCTTCTCTGAGCTGTAAAACTGCTATTATTTATTGTAGCCTCACCCTTGTTGCTATGTTGCTTATATTAGATTGCGAGCTTTTGGGGACAGTAATGTGACTTTCTATGGACTTGCACAAATCCCAGCATGTGGTGGCACCACTTGGACACAACAACAAGGAGTACAGGTAAAGTGATTTTATTTCTTAACACACTGGTTCTTTAATGCTAACATTTCAAAGAAACAGACAAATTGTATAAAGGGTAGGGGTATGTCTACACTACAGAGACTATACCGACATCTCGCCGTTCCTGTGCTTCCATAAATCAGGAGTGTAGATACAGTCTAAACTGACAGAAGGGGTTTTTACATCAGTGTAGGAATACAACCTCCTTAAATGAAGAGAGCTGAGTTGACAGAAGCATTCCTCCATCGAGGTAGCTGTGTCTACATGCGGGTCAGGCTGGCATAGCTAACTAAGTCAGAGGTGTAATTTTTTTCACATCCTTGACCCATGAAGATAAGCCAACATAATTTTCAAGTGTAGCCCAAACCTTAATAGGGTCAGTTTTAACCCACTGTTTTCACTTTGCTGTCAGTGAACTCTTACACCTACCTATTCGTAATATCATTGCTTTGTGTTTTTCTCTGAAAGCTATCCAGTTAGTGCCAGTGAAGGTTGTGTACTATGCCATTTTTATCATAATAAAAGCTCTCAGCATGGTGCGTATGTGCTACAACAAAGAATAAAAATGTCCTGTTTCTGTTACAGAAAAAGGAAAACATGCTGAATTAAACAAAGACAGATGTACAAATGTACATCATACACACTGAGGCAAGGGATTTTACCACAGGGGTACACACTTGATCTCATCCTTCCATTTTGTGTATTTAAGAAAGAAGGTGGTGTAATGGGTTTCTATTCGGAGTGTTCTCAATGATAATCTGAGACACTCTTATTAAAAACTATTCTGATCTGTAAAAATAATTAAATACCACACAGTATTGCTGTTTCTGGGGTCCGTTTTAATCAATATTCTACAAAACAAAACAAACTCCTAAAAGTATTCCATGCAAAGATAAATGTTTTCCATAAATTAAATGCTTTTAGACTTCCACCTTCATAATCCACTCAACACGTACTCTGTTCCAATTCCAAAAGGTTACACTCTAACCAACATTTTTGTCTCATATTCATAAAATTCTTGATAAGGGCATAGCAGCAAGCCCCATAAGCAACCTTGAACTGTCTCAAAACACAGGACTCAACCATAACAAAAGAATTCAGTTGTATTCTCTATATTTTAAACAATGCTATTGTTACAGGCATTTATCACAGTGCTTTCTTAATTCATCTGATTTTCTTGTTTTATTTATTGTCAACACTGATCTTAGAAGTCTAGACAGAACAAAAAGATCCATTAGTTTGCCTCTGCCATCCACCACAGCACATTCCTGCTATATGTTTGGTAGAAGCAAGCCTTGGGGAGGAGACAAGGAGAAAACAGAAAAAAAGTGCAGATCTGCAGTCATCTAGATAAATGGTGCACTGGGCATAAGACTGGGTTCAGAAAAATAGCTGCTGGTTATTTGTGCTAACTCTGCCTGTGTTTTAACACAGCTGCTTAAGTTTAATGATATCTGAGAATTTTGTAGTTAGCAATGTGCTGTATATCATTAGTAAGTGTTCTAAACCATATACTAGCACACGTATTTAGGGGTTGTGAATGGATTTTGGGTGTGGATATTTTTTTTTAAATGTATTTGTGTGCACATGCGTGCATTCAGAATATGAACAGAAAACTAATCTAAATCTCCTACTTTTATTGGCAGCAAGATCTCCATTTCCAGCAGCTCAACTAATGGGCCTAGCTACAGTAGTAGCTGGTGGAATGAAGAAATTAAAAATTCACACAAAGGCATTTTCAAATGATAAAAATCACATAAAAATCAGAGCTGCAATAGAGATTCTAGTATAGATGTAAAAAATCTTCAGTCCTCACAAGTCATGACCAGATTTTACCTTTGCTTTATTCCCTGCACTGAATGCTACCTTTCAATCAGACACCATCAAACCACCCTGTTCCTGGCCCTGTCATTTGTTATGAAGGACTCTGAACTACAAAGGTCTATTGTCCTGAGCTATGATTTTTTTTTCTTGTTACAGTCAGTGGATATCAAATAAATTCAGAGGGACATTATAACAAGTTGAGATCTGATCCTCTTTACAATTAATAGCTGTAAACATACCTATCTCCAAAACAAAGACTGATATTGATTGAAAAATCTCTCATTAATGATCTGAACAGCACATCCAGGAATCTGGGCATGCTAGCTAGACTAAGGAATGCAGATGCACAAGACACATTGCCCCACTGCTCCCCCTGCCTCCTTTGTGCTAGAAAGCCAGAAGGGGACTGAGATGGAAGAGAAGTCAGTGCCTGAGAAGCCAGAATTTGTTTTCTTTAGGTTGGCTCAGCTCACCTACTGGGATTTGATGTCTAGTCTGGGCAGTTGGTAGTTCTTCCTTAATGACTGTGGTGATCACATGTAAAAAAAACTTAAGGATGCAGGTGACATTTTGGACCCTCCTTAAGAATGTCTCCATAGAAGAAGGGAATATTTACATTTCTCAAACGAAAGCAGCCGTTTAATCTAACCTATTCTCTTAATTCCAGTTTCCAAAATCCCAATCTGTTCCCTACTAGATGGGAATCCTATTTGAAAGCACTGCCAAAGGATGCTATGCAGCACCACAGAAAAAGGAGCATGTTTCCAGAGTACAATGCCTTCAGCGGTCTGTAGGAAATGGCTGAAAAGAAAATTCAGGCACTACATAACAGAGTACGAAATTTGGCAGGGGAAAAATGGTTAGGTATATTGTCATACCAATGTTGAAAGAATGTACTAGAGAATACTCAACTTGGTTGAGGTGAAGAATTTCGGGTTAAAGAAAAGAGCAAGTTATAAAATATGTTTCTGTTTATTTGGAAACCTTCATTTTTTTAATGTAAACATCTCCATTGTATTTTGTGAATACAAACAGAACCATGCAAGGACATGAGAAGCAGGAGGTGAAACTCATTATAAAAGGCAAGTCAGTCTGTTTTATTTGTCCAAACTAAGTAAAATGCTGGGAAAAAAAAGTGAAAAAACAAGCATGAATAATGAAAAATAAATTAAATAATAATACATTATTAAACTGGTAAAAATTTGTATTACAAGCAAGGATTACAAATATGTATTTTCAGTAGTGCCCATTTAATGTCTTTCTAAAGCAAAATTAAAGCCTGGATTTGGAACCAGGATATTTATCAGTTGTTTCATTCTCTTCTATATACTCTGCCCCTTTCCATGAACAGTATATCTTCTTCCACAATCAATATAAAGCTATCGCAAACTTACAAAACCCCCATCAGTATATGCACTGGGCAACACATGACCACACTTATGGGCTCTTAAAAAAATAAATAAGGATAGTCTCAAAAAACAGAAGGAATGTCTGTTTCTCTCATTTAGTTCACAAAGCTTTGCAAAGACGACAAAAAATGTTGACCCTTATGGAAAGTTAGCACTGTGTGCAAAATTAAGAAGTAAATAAAAATACTAATTTCTACCCTATTCATTCTGCAACAACGTTCAGCTCTTATCTTGGCTACGCATTTTACCGCGTGACTTCAATTGTGGGTTTTTTAAAAATATTGTTAAAAATCGCTTTTAAGAGGGGAGGTTAATCATTGTTGAGTCATCTTGTATACAATTTTCCACGCGTTTTTAAAAGAGCTTTTCAAAATGTACTCCTAGAAGATAATCATTCCAAGGTGTAAACCATAACATATCTCTTTGGCCTGTTCTTTCTAAAGCATAGCCTGTTTTGCTTCTTGTTACTTCACATATTCAGAAACTTTTTATTGCCCTGGCTCAGAATCAAGCCAGTACAATTCATTTCTGACAGAAAAAGCATTTCAGAGTCACTAGTAAACTGGCAGCCTGCATTATTCAGGGTATCATTTTGCACTTTAATTCAGAAAATTAGCTAAGTACATCTGGTCCCAGAAATAAGTGTGTTTGTGACAAGGTAATATTTTTTTCCTCACACACTTTCCAACCAGAACATTTTTTCTTGATGTGCAATTTTGCTGCATATCATTTAGATGAGATGTTATTCCAAAAGAAACAGGAGGCACAATAAAGGAGCCAGAGTGGACAAATGAGTTTGGGGAAAGCTAATAGGGGATATGGACAACAAATGACATTTGGGAGTATTCCCTCTTGCCCATCAAAAGACCAATCACACATTCATGGCTGGAATTTAGAAAGATCCCTATGTAAGTAGCTATATCTTATCAGCAATCACTTTTTCTGCCTTTCCACATTGGAACAGGATAGAATTATTTATACAAGGAATTTCAAATAACTGTGGCTTTCACGGCTTTTTTCCTTTAGCCAAAAATGTATCCTATCGTTTTGGAACAATGAAGTATTCTAAAAATCTAACAAAACAGCAACAAAGCTTTCCTGAATTTGTTTAAGTAACATTTAAATAAAATGGGGGTAAATGAAGTCCAATTACTGAACAAGTAGGTGCCCTGAAACACTGCAAAAAGGATTAGCAATTCCAATTTATTATTTCTGTCTCAAATAATTTAAAATGACTAATAGGTAGGGTCAACAAAATGAATAAGTTTCACAACTAACTCAATTTTGTTCCTTTCCTAGGGGGTTTTAGTTCCGAAAGCCCTTGGTACATTATATGCACTTGCTTTTATCACAATACCCCCACTGGACTTTCAGTTTATTATCTAAACGTTTTGTCTTATTCCTGCTTCTTAGCTACCTGAATTTATCAGGGACACATTTGAAGAGCTATAGCCATCTACCTTTGCCAGTGGCCTGCTCAGGAGCTGCTAAGGGATCCACACTGATTGCTCCTAAATCGCTGCGCCATTAAGTCAACTCTGCAAATTTGCCAGGTACACCAGTCTCTGCCAGTCATCAAATCAAAGTTAGATACATACAATGGCCAGAGAGGCCATTAGAAAAATACTGGCAGATTACATAGCCATGCCCTACAGCATTAATTACCAAACATTCAAATCATTGGCTTTTAATTAGGAAACTGACCTACTGTCAGTGACTCTTCACCCTGTCATAAAAGGAAGATATTTGTAAATTAACCAATCTGGCATGCAAGATAAATATATCCAAGTACAGAATTAGGGACCAACCACAGCACAGAAAGCGCCACCTAAAAAAAAAAAATCCTATCTGTGCAATGCACCATGTTATGTCAGCTTTGCTTCCTACTTTGAGTCTCGCAGCAAACACAGAAGCCTCCAATACTGCAGGGATTCCATTCCATGTAAAACTCCACCCCACGTATTCCAGGCAGCCTTGTCACAAATAATTCATGTCCACTACTCCTCTATCACGCTGAATACGAGCACATTGTGCTACTGGAAATGGGAAACCTGATTCGGGTCACAGCAAAAGGTAGAAAAACACTTTTTAACACAAAGCTGCCCTGTTTTCTCCCAATGCTCCCCAATCTCAAACCTACAACTTTAGTGGAGACAAACAAAAGGCTTTGCCTCTACAGAGAAGAAGAACAGAATATAATACTTCCCCCACCCACAAAACAAAAAAAAGCGTTATGCACATTTCAACAGCCATGCCTGTCCTACCTCCTTTATTAATATCAAATTAGTACCATCCTATTCAAGTACTCCCCTTGTTGGTATAATTTGAGATGAACAGATGATAGCACATACAAATTGTGTACATGAGCTCCGAGAACTAGCAGAGCCACACAAAGGGCAACAACAACAAAAAACCCTCCTCCCCCTCCACCCAGGTCTTCGTCTTTAAGGAAAGCCACAGTCACCCTGGTGCGCTTTCTTAAAGGGCAACTAAGACAGCTCCTGTATTAATGAGGGTAAATCAGCTTTGGAAAACCTGTAACAAAAATATGATTCAAACCAAAAAGGTCTTGAAAGGGTTTCAACTGTTTAGTCCTCTTAAAATTAAATGCTGGCACAGAACTCTTGGTGCAGTGGAGGGTGCATTTCTCTATTCCCCCATCACCTTTATAAATCTATTTATTTATTTAACAGGATATACCATCCTGTTTACAGGAAAGGATAACCTCTCCGCAGCCTGGTTAACAACTGTGTTCCTAATACTGCTACTGCATCTTGGTGGGATGCCCATTTGACTGACAAGCCCATAAGCCAGTCATGTAGCAAAGCTAAGCATAAAGGTGGAATTTCAAAAGGAACCAATTGGGTGGCATGAAGGGAGGTTCCAGATGATTGGCATGTTATTCAGAGTAGAAAGTAGTAAACAACCTCTGTGTTGGCTGAAGAAAGAGGTATATCCGAAGAGGGCATGTCCCTTTACCTTGCTCAGGCTGGAGTTTTACAAGACAAAATCAATGAGAACCTTTCACAGTGGAGTAAAAACAAAAACCGCAAACACAAATGAGCCTATATTTCAAAAATGCTGCTTACATAGCAAAGGTTTAAAAATATCAAAGTCATATGTTCCTCCAGAAGGCTTTTATAAGTCACTTTGAATATAAAGCATTTTTGTAGCTGCTCTGAATTTTCTAGACTGAAAATGTTTCATCTGTACTTTCTGCATTTAGGTTTATATTAAACCAGGATTCCCCCCTTTTCAACAGAGATTTTTGTTTTTTTCAATATCAATTTTAAAAGAGAGAGACATAATTGTGATGATTAGGGAAGAATTTAAGTGTTGAAACTGGCATTATTTCCTCATATATAGAAACCATCCAGCAAAAAGTGGAAGTTTTGGTATTTAGCTTAATAACATATGGCCAAAGACAACGGGGAGGAAAATTAGCAGTTCAGCTGTCAATATTAGAGGATTAAAATGATGTTTCTGATCACATTATGTTTCTAATTGTGTGATGCCACATGAGCAGACACACAGAAAATGTAGGGCTTAGACTAAGATCTAAGGCAATCCTAACCAGGATGGGAGCATTAGTTTGGCTGCTTTCTGGAGGATAAATTATTGCTGGAGATGTTTACACAATGTAGCTTCAAGAGTCTGAAAGGTTGCTTTCAAGAGGCCCTGCCCCAGATTTAAGGGCATGCAAGCAAAGACTGTGTGGGGAGACAGCTAGGCAGGATATACTGAAACAGCAGCTCAATTTCATCTTCTCCTGTGTTTCAAATTCAGGTTTCTATTTTTGGCAAGTCCGGAGCTGTGTTTTTGCTGTAACTAGCTAGCTTTGAAACCATTCAGACTTTTCTAGGTACAATGGACTCCAGATCATGTTTAAAAGTGATTCATATTATATGATAATGTAAAAATAAAAAAAGGGCAGCTGCCCAGTATCCATAGGAGAAATTCTGAAAAGCAAACCCATGGGTTAAGAATCCCACTGGCCCTTTGCTATTGCCACCTTTTGAACCCTGGCATCAGGCAGCAAAAGTTTTCCACAAATACACAAAGGCACAAACCCTGGCTACTTTGAAGTCAATGGCTTTGGTTAACACAGAACTCCAACAGGACCAGGATTCAGCCCTCAAATTAATATTTCAAGTACCTCTCTTTTCAGTGGACAATAGCACTTCTTAATTTTTATCACATTTATAATAACTTGGCTTTCACCATTGTCACTAAGCATCATACATTTTAAAAAAATCTGAAATTAACAAATTTTAAGAACAAAAACCAAATCTAAACCAAATGTGCCCCCAATATCCTCTATATGCACCCTCTCAAACAAAAACCTAAGTAAACAAGTAGGCTCTATATCAGAGATTGGCAACCTTTGGCCTGTGGCCCGCCAGGGTAAGCCCCCCTGGCGGGCCGGGCCAGGCCGGTTTACCTGCCGCGTCCAGCTCCCCGCCAATGGGGGCTGCAGGAAGCAGCATGGGCCGAGGGACGTGCTGGCCGCCGCTTCCCACAGCCCCCATTGGCCTTGAGCGGCGAACCACAGCCAGTGGAAGCCACGATCGGCCGAACCTGCGGACACGGTAGGTAAACCGGCCCGACCCGCCAAGGGGCTTACCCTGGCTGGTCACATGCCAAAGGCTGCCGATCCCTGCTCTATACCATGCCTGGAGGGTCTGACAGACACATGAGGAAAATAAACTCCAGTTGATTCCCCACCCCATACCTCCATGAGGGGCAAGAGAGATGGAGACAGACACACATAAAGGTCTCAGGATGCAAAGATACAAACTATTAGGATAAATATATAAAATAGAACAGTGATCTTTGATAAAATCGAAATGCATCCATAAGCAAGCAGGAAGTCAGCCTGGTCTTTGGAGTACTGGCATACTGTGCTCTCCACCAAAGCCCGAATCCAAAGTACCTGCCTAACTTTAAGCACACAAAGAGTCCCACCTACTTCAATGGACAGACTCATGTGCTTCATTCAGCTAGGCACTGAAGCACCTGCCTACCTCGGAGGCCTGGGCAAGTGAGTTATTGTATTTCTTTACTAGCTGCTGCTTCAAAACAGACCTTAATGGCAGCCCTACGTGGAGTACACGGCAACAATCCTATATGGAGAAAGCAACTTCCGGGTCAGGATACGACCCTTTTTTTTTCTTTAAAAAAAAAACAAAAAAGGTTCCCTGCACCACCACCCCCCAAAATCCTAAAAGGCGGTAGGCAAAAAAACAAAAAAAGCTTCCTGAAGACAGAATGGTATTTCAGCTGTCAAATCCTTCCAAACACAATTCCAGCCCTCGCCTGGCTCCTAAGACATTGACCTTGGCTTTCTGAAATATAACCTTCCCTTCCATAAAGCTAAAGGCAGTTAGTGGTCTCAACAGAATCTGTGAGAGGAGCGCAATAGCTTTCTGAGGCCAGGAAGAGGTCACATGATGCAGAATCCTTCACAAAGTCAATCATTTGTGGGGACTGACACTGTCTTGTGTAGTGAAATGCTATCTGTACCGAGTCACAGAACAGTAATATCACATAGAATAGCATAGTGTGCATGCCAAGAGCACTTTTTTAGAGCTACCCCACACATACCTTATACTAAACACTGTGCTTTTCCCCTGCCTCTCACTGGCCCAGAGAATGACTCACTTTTTTCCAGCTAGCCAAATGGGAGGCCATTTCTCCTTGATGTAGCAAGGACTAAGGCAGTCATGGAGGGACTGTCATGGAGAGACTACATCAGGGGTGGCCAACCTGTGGTTCTGGAGCCACATGCGGCCCTTCAGAAGTTAATATGCGGTTCCTTGTATAGGCACCAACCCCGGGGCTGGAGCTACAGGCGCCAACTTTCCAATATCCCGGGGGGCGCTCACTGCTCAACTCCTGGCTCTGCCACAGGCCCTGCCACCCCTTCCCGCCCCCTCCCCTGAGTCTGCAGTGCCCTCGCTCCTCCCCCTTCCCTCCCCCAGAGCCTCCTGCACAGTCAGGAAACAGCTGATCAGGAGATGCAGGGAAGGAGGAGGCGGCGCTGATTGGCAGGGCTGCCAGTGGGTAGGAGGCTCTGAGAGCTGATGGGGGGCTGCTGACATATTACTGTGGCTCTTTGGCAATGGACATTGGTAAATTCTGGCTCCTTCTCAGGCTCAGGATGGCCACCCCTGGACTACATTCAATCCAAAAGAAAGGAGAGCCTCATGCTGCACAATAGCTTAGCTACCTATGAAAGGTAACTTGCACCGTTGGGGAAAGTG